AGTAAACTAACCATCTTTTGTCTTGTTTCACTCCATTAACCATTCTTCTTCTATAAAATGAATATGTGAAAGATCTATCAATCTCATCTTTTGGAAAACGGTAGTCAGGTGATGGTCTTGGAGGGGGACCTTTCTGAACCAAATAATCTCTCATTTTCTGATCAATTTTCTCCCAGTTTGTAGGATCAGTCATATCCACATTCTAATAAAAATCTCTAATCTCATCAACCTTCCCATCTTCTCTTTCATTCTCAACTGGTTTTTCTATGTTCTCATTCACACAATCTGCATCATCCTCCACAACTTTTTCATTACCCTTTTCACATGCAGCCTCTTCCATATTACTATTAGCAACAATTTCACCTTTCTTATCTACCTCAGCCCTAACAGTCTCATTAGCAGGCTGCTCATTAGTTTTAGAAATTCGGGTTCTTGTAACATACCTTAACATATCACCAGTTTGAGATTTCTTCAATTCGTCAAGTCTGTCTTTTCTCTTCTTATTGTCAGCTCCACATGGTTGTTTTCTACCTCCCGATGACATTGTGCTACAAATTAGAATAACTGAGACAATAAAAATAGAAACAAAGTTACAGAGATATCATAAATTCAAATCAAATCCAATTTTAGTTTGTTAAATCTATGATATAAAAAGACATACATGAGATAAGAATATAAAAGAGAAACTGGTTTTAGAGATTGGTGAGAAAAAACTACCTTGTAGCTTGGTGGTGAATTGGTGATTGACCATGAAAAATTGAAGATTGAAGAAGAAGCAAACTAGAAAAGCGTCTCTGTAAAACAAAATTAGGTTTAGTAACTAATTATTTTAGTAAAACAATTTATAATTAATTAATATAATAGATTCAAAAAAGATTAGAATATTAGAGTCTAGATCACGTATTGTTATAGTAAATAAGGAAGAAAAAAAAGTAAAAAATCGTTTTGGAAAAAAAAAGTTAGAAAACATACTCCATCAGAATCGAACCTTAGACCAGAGGAAACACTCGCAGCTATAAACCACTACACTACCGATCAATTCAAATATGATGCCTAAAGCAGCTGTTTGTTGGGCTTCCGCCCTGGACCGGCCCTGGTGGCCATCACTACGAATCATAGTCATCTTAAAACATTTGCTTAAAAGATATATTGCCATGATTATTTATGTAATTACGTATTTTTACTTCATAATTGCTCTAGTTATAATATTATAAGAGAGAATATAGTGCTCTTTTTTAATAAGTGAAATTTAGAGTAGTTTAATTTACATATAAGCATGATTAATTGGTGACTTAATGGTGAAGATCAAAAATTATGTTTGTTTGTTGGATTTGCTATGGAAATTTTTTGAAATTATAATATGTATTGTAGTTTTAGAATTCATATAACAAGCACAAAATCGGTACAAAATGAAATGATACTTCAAATTAGCTCTTGAATACAGATTCCTCAATCCATCGTTGGTTCAACTAAAAGAGTTATAATAAGAAAACCCATAATATATATACGATTTTTAATATTTGACTTAACATCATAGTTTTATTTTTTATGAAATATTAATTATTAATTGATTTTTTTGTACTTGGTGACTTTTTACCAATAGTCTGATACAACTGATAAGAAATTATAGGTCTCTAAAGAACGTATTATGTGTTATTTTCAGAGATGTTGAATTTAGAGGTATTATAAGCATGTAGATGATGTAATTCTAAAAAAATTGTGTAAACCTTTCTTACAGTGTATAGTGACTAATTTTCTATTGAAACTCAAATGCCAATAATTAAGTATATCGACTAAATTATCATTGTTTAAGACCGATGTAGAATTCATCATTCAGCAACTTCTCATCTTTTGTAACTACATTAATGGTTATTGGAAGACACTGCATTTTTTAAAAAAAAAATAGGAGAGAGAAGGTGGGAGTGTCTCTACAACGTAGACACTAGCAACGGTGTGGAATCATTGAACAGCGTATTTAAAGACGCTATGAGATACTCCTTAATACCCATGCTTGATGCGATTATTGGAAATTTTTTTGAATAGTTTAATGAACATCGGAAAGAGGTCGTGTCTGGTTCGGTTGCAAATAAATTGGTGCCTTTGTGGAGAATTACTTGCACAATTTATGGGGTGTTGCTGAAAAACTAAAAGTGACTGAGCTAAACACTTTTGAGCTTCAATACAATGTCATTGACAGCGACGAGAAGCCTTATTTGGTGAATTTGCTTTTGAGGAGTTGTAGTTGCAGATTTTGATATTCGAAAGTACCCTTGTGTACATGCATTGGCCGCTTTCATAGAATATTAAAAGACTAGAGATAGATGTAGGGATATCCTAATGCATGAGTTGTCTTCTAGGTACTATTGGACGGAGCTGTGGGAAATGGCGTATTACCAGACAATATTTCTAGTACCGGATAAGTCTCTAGTAATTCATCAAGGTAATGGTGTAATTAAATCAATTTTCGAATTAAAAAAAAAACAAAAAAAAAAAGAAATAATAGGAGAGGATAAATGAGATTCCTTGTTCTCAAAAAGGGGCAAGGGAAATGAATTCTCTTGAGAGAGAAGAGATTCAAAGAGAGAATAGTGAGAGAAGCTATGTAGAGAGAAGAGATGCAAAGAGAAGATGGAGAAAGAGAAAATAGTTTTTGCAATTAGGTTAAATCATTAAGGGTATATTTGTCTTTTTGTCCAATATGGGGGTAATTTTAAAAATGGTCTCCTTTGTGGGATATTTTTAAAAGAGAATTTCATAAGAAATGCCACATTCATAACTCAAAACTATTTTTATGCCAGTTTTGTAGATGCCTTACAGAAATGCCACTTTCCAGCTTTTGGCATAAATCAAAAAGACTATTATACGCATGCTGAAATAAGGTGAGAAAAACAAAGGCTCAAACGATTTCAATTAAGTAATAACAAGTTTAATCTAATACTTTGCCAACACACTAGTCCACTACATCGTTCAAAAATCTAGATGGTGGACAACACAAATGCCCGAGTTAATAAAAATGGACAATATAATGCTGGACGAATTGATAGGTAGTAGACAAGTTACTATATCTGGTCCATAAAAAATTATATCTTCATGTCAAGTGGACAACACTTGTATCCATCGATTTTGTTATTCGTTGAAACTACATCAGACTTCAAATAGATGTTTGATGGACATAATTGTAAGAGTTAGACAACCAGAATTAGATGGACAAGAGAGATAAACCCAGAAAAATAAATTAATGTCCATCAAACAAGTTCAATAGAAGTGTCTCTCGAGTGAATAAAAATCGACAAAATAATGGTAGACGAATAAATAAGTAGTATACAAGCTACTAGATCTGGTCCACAAAAAATTACATCGTCAATGGCGGAGCTAGAAATTTTAATCATAGGGGTCATAATATTTTTTATTAATCACTATATTAAAAGAGATTTTGCTACCGTTTAATCCAGCGATACGCAAATGTGAAGTAAGAAAATAATGAGATTCATATCGTTAAATAAATTACGCTATCATCGGTTAGATCTTTTTTTTAAATCTAGGTTAAGTTTAGCAACAAAATAAACAAAAATTTGTTAGAAATTGCCAACAAAAATGTTAAACTTTGTTAAATTAATCTATAAATAGTATATCAGTCATTGTTGCTAAAGAAAAGTGGAAAAGCTATAAACTTTTTAATGTCAGTCATACAAATAAAAATAAATCAAAATTATTGTTTTATTTAGATAGGGACAAAATCGTCTTTATAAATGGTGCTTGTGGCACCCGGGAAAAGGACAAAAGTAAACTGGCATTTACTGTAAGATTGGTCACCGTACATGGCATAATTAATAATATTCTCTTTTTAAAATTGTAATCCCATAAGGGATATTTTTAAAATTGTCTCTTTTTAATTAGTTAGAGAAATATAAAGAAACTCGAAATTAGATATGGAAATAATATAATTATAGTTGCCTAAATATATGCAATGAAATTTAATTTGAAAATAAACAGTTATGTGCATTAGACTGGTATCAAAGATCCAAATTAAGAATCTAGGTTAAAATTTTGAAATTAACCTGACCCAAAACACAAATGTACTTCTCTTTTAATATATAGGGGATCATGTCATATTGGAAGAAAAGATGAATAATTGGAGAAACAATGTGTTTTCTATATTAAAATCATATATATAGAAAAATATATATGTGATATTCATAAATATCATGTATGGAAACATGAATTAATTGGAGAAACAATGTATTTGTAACATTAAAATAATGTATTTAGGAGAAATTACATGTGTCCTTGATAGATTTAATGTAATAAAAAAATTATGTTACAAAAAAAAATGTCGACTGAGTTTCCAAGAGAAATTGAGATTTGATGAGATCAAAGTGAAGATTTTTGACGGTTATAGAGAGAAAAAATCCTATAAATAAGTAGAGAGATTAGTGATAAAGATTTTTTTGAAAGAGATAGAGATAGAGATTGACGGCAAACTTACAGTGAACGAATATAAAATGATCATGATAATTATGTTGATATTGATATCATCGGTGATGGATTTCCCAAGAAAACTAACGGTGAAGAAGATTGTGGTATATATGATTTCACCAGCACGCAACAATAATTCATAACTGAGGATATTATCTGATGATTGAGGTGTTTTAGAAAGAACAAAAGAATGTAGATGTTAATGGACAAAATTGTAATTACCATGAAAGATAAAGTTTTGCTACAGGCCCCGGAACCGCTCATGCTCATTTTGTCAATTTTATTCTGAAATTCAGTGATTTAATACATATTCGCAGAGTATAATATATATTTATATAATTTATTTTTTTTAAATTAATAGAACCATGAAAAGTTACATTTTTATAATTTTTATGCAATTTTGGTATTTTAATAGTGGTCCAGATTTAAACAAAAAAAAAAAATTTATAATATTTGTAAATTGATGAATTATCAGATGTTTGTGATTTTAAACTTTAAAAGTGATTTAAACAAATAAACCAAAGTGTCCGCACATGTATGTTCCAACTGCTCCGACGAGCTCATGGACTTTGCATGCCGTCTTCTTCCTACTTCTCGCGTCTCGTAGATCGCTCCTTGCTCTCAAAGTCTCCGACTTTATCCAGAATCGTGCATGCCCAGATCGTCAAAGTTGGATTCATACCCAATACTTATTGGGGAAATCGCTGTCTTCAACTCTACTTCAAATCCGGATCTGTCGTCGATGCATTGCAACTGTTCGACGATATTCCTGATAAGAACACTATATCCTGGAACGTTTGCTTAAAGGGTTTATTAAAAAATGGTTATTTTAACTATGCCCTAGAAGTGTTCGACGAAATGCCTGAACGAGATGTTGTTAGCTGGAACACAGTGATTTCAGGGTTGGATTTTTGTGGGTTTCCTGAGTATGGGATGAGGGTTTTCTTGGATATGAAGAGTTTGGTTGTTCGACCAAGTGAGTTCACTTTTTCGATTTTGGCTTCTCTTGTTTCTTGTGTTGGCCATGGGGAGCAGATTCATGGTAATGCTATTTGCAGTGGCGTGAGTAAGTCTAATTTGGTGGTTTGGAATTCAGTTATGGATATGTATAGAAGACTAGGATTTTTTGAGTATGCTTTATCTGTTTTTTTAACTATGGAGGAGAGAGATGTTATCTCGTGGAACTGTTTGATTTTGTGTTGTTCTGATTCTGGTAATAAAGAAGTGGCTTTGGATCAGGTTGGTTTGATGATGGAAATGGGGAATGGACCGGATGAGTATACAGTATCGACGGTTTTGTCGATATGCTCGGATTTACGAGATTTGTGCAAGGGTAAGCAGGCTATTGCTCTTTGCATCAAGATGGGATTTTTTGGTAACTCTGTTGTTTTGGGAGCTGCGATTGACATGTTTTCTAAATGCAAGAGATTGGATGATTCGGTTAAGCTTTTCAGAGAGTTGGAGAAATGGGATTCAGTGTTGTGCAATTCCATGATCGGTAGCTATTCGTGGCATGGTTTTGGAGAAGATGCTCTCAGGCTCTTTATTGTTGCCATGAGGCAGAGGATTAGGCCTGATAAGTTCACGTTCAGTAGCGTTCTGAGCTCGATGAATGCTGTGATGCTAGATCACGGAGCACAAGTTCATTCTTTGGTTATCAAATTAGGGTGTGATCAGGACACGGCAGTAGCCACCTCACTCATGGAGATGTACTTTAAAACCGGTTTAGTTGATTCAGCAATGAGAGTGTTTCCCACAACAGATGCAAAAGATTTGATCTTTTGGAACACAGTGATAATGGGTTTGGCAAGAAACATCAGAGCAGCTGAGTCACTTGCTGTTTTCAATCAATTGCTGATGAACCGAGTTCTGAAACCTGATAGAGTGACTCTACTGGGTATCTTGGTAGCTTGTTGTTATGCCGGCTTCGTTAACCAAGGAATTCAGATATTCTCTTCAATGGAAAAGACTCATGGAGTTAATCCAGGAAACGAGCATTACGCCTCTTTAATCGAATTGCTTTGCAGAGCAGGTATGATCAATGAAGCAAAGGACATTGCCGAAAACATACCTTTTGAACCAGCCTCTGATATCTGGGAACCAATTCTCTATGCATCTCTTGATCTTGGAGACACAAGACTCGCTGAAACCGTAGCGAAAACAATGTTAAAATCCGAACCAAATTCATCGTTTCCCTATCTAGTTCTGATCAAGATATACGAGATGACATTGCGCTGGGAAAATTCAGTCAAGGTAAGATACGCCATGAATGAACAAAAGATGAAATCGTCTCAAGGATCAAGCAAGATCGGTATAAAGAGCAGTGTGTACAGCTTCGAAGCTGGCCAGTTGCAAATTCATGGAGGTCATGAGACTTACACAGTCTTGGACTTGTTGTCTTGGGATTTTGATGATCAGCTGCATAACAGTTTTCACTAACGAGATTTACATTTAGTAGTAAGTGATTTTTTCATCTACTTTAACCTCATGGCTCAGGATGTATAAATAAATCATGAAATATTTCAATATTTTTTCCACTAAATTAAAAAGTTAAATATATTGCACAGTAAATTGATGTATGGAGAAATTAATTTGATAATAAGAACAGATTATTTTTCACTACCGCCGGCTGTGATCTCAAATGATAACCAGCTAATTCTTTACCAAGATCGAAAACTAAAATAAAGGGAAAATTTCAAATATATTTATTTTTCAATATATTTCAAAATTCAAAATTTCAAATTTCAAAAACTTTATCAAAGAAATTCTTAAATTATAAAATTTATCAAAATATGTGTAAGATTATAAAATTACAAGTATGTAAAAAAAATTATATTTTTTATTTTTTTATCTTGGTTAGAGTTCGGAGGAAAATTATACTGACCGTGTTTCTGGGTTGATTAAGACATATTCGACATCATATTCTACTATCGTCGTCTCAACAGTTAGAGAGTCGTTGTGAGTGTGTTGTATCCCCTAACATCTTCGGCCAAGAAAATAATGGAATCAGTGCTCAATTTGTCTTTTTCCAGAGTGGTTTTCAGACTGCAAACTTGTATGCTTTTTTCTTGAGGGCTCAAACTTAATCATTAAAGTTTTCAGATCCGCTCAATATCATGGTCATTCATCCTCGAGCAGTTTGAGGGCCCTCTCTGTCTTTTCGGAGGTATTGGGAGATCTTCGTGCAAAGAGGTAAAAAAATTTATATTATTTTATATATACTTTTTAAAAACCTTGTAAACTATTCTAAAAACCTTATAAATATTTGGATTGAGTCCGAATAGTAGTCATTATCAAAAGTACCTTATAAACCATATAAACAATTTATAACTTTTCAAATTGAAAATTGATAAATCAAAAGGAAATTTTTAAAAAGTTTACACCAAAAGGAGTATTTTCAAAATTACATTAGAGATATAAACCAATTATTTTATTTTATTAGAAAATTTTGAAATTTTAAAGAATTTGAGTCCGTTCCTATTTACTATTTAGTCTAGTTTCATTTAGAAAACTCGTGAAAAGGAAAAAAAAAACAATAAAACAAAATTTATGATAACTCTATGCAACAACAAGAAAATGTATTTTTCTTTATGTATTCACCAAAAAACAAAGTGTTTATTTTAGAAAATACTTGGGTGAACCACTCTTGTTCACCCCGTTTTTATTAGCCAATCAAAATATAACAATATACCATGTCATTTTTTATTTAAAAAATAAATCAGAATTAAAATTAAAATAAAGTAAATTAAGCAAAAAAATTCTGTAGAATTTTTATTAAGGAAATATATTTCAGTTTGGTTTGTAAAAGAACGGTTAGAGTTTAGATTTTTAAATAAACAAAATTGTATTTTGGTTTGTGTTTATAAAATAGTAGTTAGGTTTAAATTTTGTGATTAAACGAAATTATATTTCGGTTTGGGTTGATAAAATAGTGGTTAGAGTTTAGATTTTGTAACTAAATGAATTTATATTTCAGTTTGGGTTGATAAAATAGTGATTATGGTTTAGATTTTGCAATTAAACGAAATTATATTACGATTTGGTCTGATAAAATAGTAGGTCGATAGACATTTCATCTTATGTGCGACCCTCGGCTTCGTCACCGACCTACAACAAACATGATGACTGTAAGATATGTTAGCGGGACAATAAATATAAGTTAACCTAAATATTAAACACATAAACAAATAATTTTATTTAAATCAACTAACACCTACCTTATCAGTATTTTCGCATTTAGATTTTGACATTTTGTAATTAAACCGAATTATCGGTTTGGGTTGACAAAATAGTGGTTAGAGTTTATATTTTTTAATTAAACGAAATTATATAAAAGACTGGTTAAAGTTTGTTTTATTTTTTTTTATTTTATTTCTTTTTAAAATGTAACATGACATGTCATATTGTTATATTGTGATTGATTAATGAAGAGGAGGTGAATAAGAGAGGTTCACAAATATTGCTCTTTATTTTGACTAAAAATGTAACATGACATGTCATATTGTTATATTGTGATTGATTAATGAAGATGAGGTGAATAAGAGAGGTTCACAAATATTGCTCTTTATTTTGACTTCAAATAAAACATAGTAAATTTTTGCATCCACGTAAATGTGACATGAATCAAAAATAAACATGAGGGGTGTATTCAAAATGGAATTTTAAAAGATTTGAGTTTTATTGAGTTTTTAAATGATTATGATGATTTTAGGAAAGCTCATATAATTTTTGTAAAATCGTTTCAAATCTCACCAAAAATCATGGAATTTGGATTTATGTATTTTTAATTAGTTCAATAACCGTGGATTTCATGAGACTTTTTAAAATCTATGTTTGAATTACACTAGATTTATAAATTTTACACAAATTTCTTAAAATTCTACTTTGAATACACTCCAGTAATGTAGCGAAGGGGACAAGCACTGCTATATAGAATCAATCATTATTGAAAGTTACCAAAACGAATCAGATTTGTTTATTATTGAAAAACACATGATAGGTCCATTCTCACTACTAGGCCCTTGTGGCGGCTTCTCTTCTATAACGCGTCCACTTGGCATAATTTATTTGACAATCTTTTCTAGAAATAATAGATTGATTTTTCAAACTCGATGGCTTACGTTTACACCCTTATATAAACACATCCTCAGTCTCATATATGTTCATCATCAATCAAACACAAACACAACAACAACAACAACAACAACAAAAACACACAATGCAGATTCACAAACTCTGTTTTCTTGTTCTGTTCTTGGCTAACGCAGCTTTTGCAGTCAAGTTCAACTTCAACACCTTTAATGGTGACAACTTGTTTTTCCTAGGAGGTGCAGAGCTTGGTCCTGCTGCTAAAGGAGGCATAGAACGATCCGGAGCACTATCGATGACCCGAGATGAAACCCCGTTTTCTTACGGTAAAGGTCTTTACATGAATCAAATCCCATTCAAAGCTTCAAACACTTCTTCTCCTTTTTCCTTTGAGACTTCTTTCACTTTCTCCATCACTCCTCGCACCAAACGTGTCTCCGGTCAAGGCCTCGCCTTCGTTATCGTCCCGGAAGTCGATAACTCGGGCTCTTCGGGTGGCGGGTTTCTCGGGATCCTCAACAAAACCAACAACGGGAAGGCGGAAAACCATATCTTCGCTGTCGAGTTCGATACATTTCAAAACAATGAGTTTGGAGACATTAATGGTAACCATGTCGGAATCAACATTAACTCGATGACTTCTCTTGTCGCTGAGAAAGCTGGTTATTGGGTTCAGACATTGGTCGGGAAAAGAAAAGTTTGGTCGTTTAAAGATGTGAATCTTAACAGTGGAGAGAGGTTCAAGGCTTGGGTTGAGTTCAGAAACAAAGACTCTAGGATCACTGTTACGCTCGCTCCTGAAAACGTTAAGAAACCTAAGAAGCCTTTGCTTCAAGGTCCGAGAGTGCTTAATGATGTCCTTCTTCAAAACATGTTCGCAGGCTTTACTGGTTCCATGGGACGTGCAGCTGAGCGTCATGATATTTGGAGCTGGTCGTTTGAAAACGCTAACTAAACCGGTTTGTTTTTGGTTTGGTTTGGTTCGGTTTGGCTATGTATGATTTGTGTTTATTTGGTAATTGTTGCACTACGTACGTACTCACTAGAGTGAATAATTATGAATAATGTTTGAATAAAATAAGCCAAATCTTTGACTTCTCTGTATTGCTTTGTTTGTTGTATTATTGAGACATTTCTAATAAAGGAAACTTTCTTTTTAAGTTCATTTAACCTAAAACAAACCTGTTAGCATTATTGGGGACAACAACCTAAAAACATATTAGATTAGATCTGGTTTAGATTAATTTGTTACGATTGAGAAATAAGAAAAATATTTTACAAATCTCTTTTGTTCGTAATCTCTATTAAATCAAAATATACACTATGCAATTTTTGGAAGCTAAATATCTCGAAAAACTTTAAAACAAATTGACATTGACTGATCATTGTAGTGGAATGCACTAGAGTTAATTTTGTCTTTATATAACCTATTTTATATATAGACTACCGCGGGTCCAATATTAATATATTATATTTAGAAGTATAATTTTAAATATACTAGCTAATGTCCCGCGCATATGAGCGGGTTGTCGTATATTTATTTAATTATTTTAATTTATTTATTACTTATAAAAAATAGATTAAATAAATTTTAATGCTTATGATATTTTTACATGTTATTTATTTAAATCATACAATAGAAGCATACATTCATATCTTTTGAATTTATTCGTTGATTAATTGTTCAATTAATCAATTTTGATAGTAATTTTCTTTAGTACTTTTAAGTATTTTTTGATTAAAAAATTATATTGTTAATGATAAAAATAGGAATGATATTGGGAGAATTTAAAAAATACCCCTTTAAAAATACCACTTTTAAAATTTACCCCATTTTCAAACTTTATCAAAACAACCACTAAAAATGTTGAAATTTATCCAAATATGTGTGTAAACTTATAAATATACACAAAATTACCTTTATTTGTGTATAAAATTTTATTTATTTCAATGTCCTACAAATTGGTTTGAATATAACAAAAGAATATTTTGTTAAAATAATCACATACTTTGAAAATAAAATAAATATACATGAATATGTGAGAAAGAAAAAAACATATAAAGTAAAACAATAAAAATGGTTTATTTAGCTTGATTTTCTTATGGTGCGATGGTCAGAAATCAATATTTTTGAATCCCATCGATAAAGTAATTTCCTTATAGCCATAAAATATTATTATACATATGTATTATACATTTAATAGTATAAAAACAATAAAAAATGAAGAAGTACATAAAATAAAGAAGAAATATAATTGAAAACAAAAGTTTTAACCAAATATATAATCAAGCTCTTACAATGATATCTTAATTGAGCTTTCAACCCATGCAAGAACATTAAAAATTAAACAAACAAAATATTGAGAATATCAGATATGGTGGAGGAGGATGTAAAAATGAGTATTTATAGGATAAAATATGATGTAAGTTACAATTCTAAAATAATTAAATCAGAAGAGTTATAATTATATTTTATAGTGTGTTAATTGAAGTTAAATGGAGGAAAAAAAATAGTCAATTGAAAGGTTATATAATTTAAGTTACAATTTAATAGTAAAGTGTGGATTTCAAGTATGAATTAAAGTATATGACTAAATGTGTTAGATATTTGGTTTAATTAAAAATAAATATTATAATTAAAAATAAATGCTAAATGGACCAATAAGGAGAGAGTGAAACCTTAAAAATTCTCAAGAAATAATTTTATTTTTAATCTCTTTTTATATTCCTCTTAATTTAAGTTATATTTCTAGGTTTAATTATATTTTTCATCCTTGTAGTATATATAATAGATAGAAAATGGAATATCAAATTGTTTTTGAGATAGGAAATCAAGTATAAAATTCAAAGTTAAAACAAATTATAATGTTCTTTGTATTATTACATGTTGAATCACAAACTAAATATAAGGATCATTATTCTTAAAAGAATGTCTTACAAATTGGTTTGATAATTATATAATAAAAATTTTATTTTGTTAAAAAATTACATACAAAAAGTAAATTAAATATACATGAATATGTGAGAAAGAAACAAACATCCAAAGTAAAAGAATGAAGATGATTTCTTTAGCTTGATTTTCTTATAACCATAAAATATTATTATACATATGTATTACATTTAAAAATATAAAAAACAATGAAGACATAAAGAAATACATAAAAACATAAAATAAATAAAATTGAAACAAAAGTTTAAACTAAATAATTAATCAAACTCTTACAATGATATTTTAAATGAGTTTTCACCCCATGCAAGAACTTTAAAAAAAAACAAAGAGAATAATAAAGATATGAGATATGGTAGAGAAAGATGTGAGAATGGCTATTTATATGATAAGAAGTGATGTAAGTTACATTTTTAAAATAATTAAATTAGAAGAGTTATAATTATAATTTATAGTGTGTTTAATTGGAATTCAATAAAGAAAACCAATAGTCTTTGGATTTATATAATTTTCAGTTTCATTTTAGTAGTAAAGTGTGAATTTAAAGTATAAATTAATGTATATGATTAAATGTGTTTTTTTGGTTAAAAATAAATATTATATTATAAAAAATAAATACAAAATGGAACAATAAAGAGAGTAGAACCTTACTTATATATATATGATTTTAAATAATTTTCCACCAATAAGGCTTATAAAATTTGTTGTATGATATATGATTATGTCCTTTCATTTTCTTTGCCATTTGATTATAACTTATAGTGTAATTAAATTTTGTATTGAATGATTGTCATAAACATTTATTTATTTATTTATTTTGTTGAATGATATATGATTAAGTCCTTTCATTTTCTTTGCCATTTGATTATAACTTATAGTGTAATTAAATTTTGTATTGAATGATTATCATAAACATTTAAAAAAAAATAAAAAATTAAAGCCTTAAATATTTTTCCACCAATAAGGAGAGAGTGAAACCTTACTTTTATATATATGATTTTTATTATTAAATTTATATTTAAATTTAATTTATATTAAATAATTTATTTCATCTTGTAATTAAATTAATTTGAAAAATAATTTTGTTAGTTATATTGGTGTAGTAAAATGATTTTTACTTGAAGTAGTGAAAGGCTGAACAGAATACTTGTTGTATGTATTCGACCGTATTTGACTCGTTACTGTATTCGATACGCTATCGTATTGTTTTTGATCTGTTTTTTTTTTAAATAAGAGTATTTGTTACTTTAATGAGCTTTATGGGCCTTATCATTAAAACCAATTACATATATATAATTTGACTAATTAAAATCCATAGGTACACAGCGGGAATTTTTAATCTAACTTATTAAGTATAAATTTGATTATTATTATTTTAATTTATTAAACTCATGAATTTTCAAACTGAATGTTTTGAGAAAAAACGATTATAATAATATATATACTATATAATATTCACACATAGTGTGGGTATATACGTTCTTAGTTCCATTATGTCGTACAATTACAATAGAGAATGTTTTATAATTCTAATCTGTATAAATATATAATAATAGCAGTTGACCCGCGCTCCGCGCGGGAGGTTTATAATTTTGTTTCGTTGATTTTTTATTCATATTGTTATATTTTATTATTTTTTTAAAAGATTTTCAAAAAATATTATAATTATTTTCTCTTTAATTATTATCTTTCAATACTCAAATTTGGATTAAAAGCATTTGATTCAATTTATGAAATATCATTTTTTTCTTTTTGATCATGTTATAAACTAATATTTCACTTGCATTTTATTTTCCCTCTTTATAATTTTATATATACAATTACATTAATGTTGTTTTAGTCTACCATAAATTTAAATTTTACTTCCAGTAACATATTTAAAATATTAAATTATGATCAATTTAAAATGAAAGTTGAATTATATTATTACCACTAATAAAAAATTAAAGTATTGTTTTTCTTATTTTAACATTTCATTTTTTTACATAATTTATTTTTATTTATATAAACTTTCTATTAATTAAATAAGTAACATAAATATGTACTAAATGAATGTTTTAAATTTATTTTAATGTTTAAACAAAAATGTGGCTTAGGTGGATGCTTAGGTGGCATCATGAGAAGAGAGAAAAAGCTAACTTTATATATATAGATAAGAAAAAACTAAAAAAATTCGTGAAATAAAAGAGAGAAAAGAAGTCAAACAAATTAAAATCGATTTTCATACTAAAGAACCAATAACCAAAAATCAAAACTACATCAATTTTTTGTTCAGGTCCATAAAGCCTAATTATTTCTTCTGCAACTTCTCTCTCGAGAACAACCTAGAAATTTCAGAAATGGCTAAGTTCACTTAAAATGACGACAACAATACCATCTTATGATCTCCAAATTTCTCAACATCAAACGACGGTTTTATGAGTTCGAGTAACAAAATTCAGTTTTTGTTTATTAAATGGAACCTTTTTGCAAAGGTAAGCAAATTTCGTTTTTCTCTTTTCCAAAGTTGATATGTAAAAGTCACCGTTGAACAATCCCTCACTCTTAAATCAGTCAACTGGTTTATCTTCGGATCAATCAATTTTAATCCATATCAACGAATATATAGTGGATATGTTATTCAATTTAGCGAATATATTAAAAAAACTATTTTTATTTTGATGAAATTAGTACACATTTCAATTGAAAACCAACAATAGAAAAGCTAACAAAAGTATAATTCATCGCTTAAATCATCATTTATAAGAAAACAATTGACTTTTATTTTCTAGTGCAACAACATATTCCAGAGTTCTGATTTGGAACACAGTGCCCATAATAATATTCATCCACTCTACAATCAAGGATGCATTGATAATCTTCATAATATCCTGTAGCACACTTAGTAGAATAGTTTGGTGGTCCTATAAATACAACCGACAAAAAATAAATATATAATGGTTATTCTCAATTTTATATTTTAGAAAAGTAAAATATCTACTATTGGTCTGAAAATTATCAAAAATAATTACATAATAGTAATTAGAAAGAAAGAAATTCTTATGTTAAAAACATCAAATACTTGAGGCGCATAAAACATTGTTGTTGGATAGCAAAATTGTCATTATTATTACAAAAAATAAGATGATATAGTTTTTTGTGATATTCATTAGGGATTTTGGCATGGATGACCAACAAAAAATCTATATTTCACCAGCTAACCACTCTAACCCAATAAAGGCAGTATAGTGTATATTTTATGTATTATTACCATATTTGGCCTCATGTCATGATACACAGTTGTTCCTTATCCCATTCTCTACAAGTCTACAACCCACCCTTTTATAATACATATGTATTTACATATTAAAACAAACAAATACTGTATTTGCTTATGTTATATTTTTACATTATAATCTTTTTTTTCATGTGTTTAATTGCGTAAAATATTTGATGTGCATCTAATTTGGTGAGTTGGGTTGCCTTTGTTGTATCCCTTAGGGTATACATTTCTTATTCGTTGTGCGTTTTAAGTAATTTGTTTGGGTTTTCTAAGTTATATCCCTTAGGGTATAGCATCTATAATTCAACATCGGTTTAACTCGTCAATGGTTAGTTTCGGTAATTTCTATTTTGTCTCTCGTTTTTTCTTTTCACCATGGCCAGAACTACATCCACCACTACAATTAAATTATTAAAGATTGTGTTACATACTTAAATAGTATGTAGTATACTATTATATTTTATGTGTTTCTATATAGAACATGTTTTCTTTATTACCAATACTATTCATCATTAGAACTACTACCACACCGTATACCCACCACCTCTTTACTATATAACCACCACAATCTTCATCACCACCACAACCATAGCCAGAACCACGTCTACAATTACATCCACTACTTAAAGATTGTGTTAAATACTTATATAATATGTAGAATACTATTCTATTTTATGTGTTTCTATATAGAACGTTGTCTTCTTCGTTATCTACTATTCATCATTCTAAAATTTTCATATCCAATTTGAAAAATTCAAGATATGTTGAATGCAGAAAAAAATGTAAAATTTTTTACATAAATTAGAGAGTTTATATTAACCTTTTTGAAAAGATATATTACTAACAAATATAAAGGGATAAAGTGTTTTATTCCAAAAAAAAAATTAAAAACAAAATAAAAAAATAAAAAGCTGGATTTTTCTTTATTATTTTAAAGGATAGTTTGGTCATATTACAAGAGTCATGTGTTAGTTTCTTTATTTTTTACTTTATAGTGCTAAATTCTTAATTTTATTATCTAAATTGATTATTCACCTAATTCACCCTATACATTATATTGTTTTTTGTTTCTATCTGTTAATAAGAAAAGATGTTTTATAGCTTTATAGTTCTTTAAAAGAACACTAGGGATGGACCCGCACATATGTGCGGGGTTGATTGCAAAACCTAAATTTATTATAAAATTTGCAATATTTGGATCAATATGATAAGAGACCCAGATCGAGTGTGAACCGAATTAGTGATAAGTTAGAAAGTAACTAAATTCAGGGAACTATCACATCATATAAAAACAATGAAAAAATTAAAACTTTTGAATAAAATAACATAAATATAGATGTCAAGAGAGTCAAATCCGTTCACTATGCATGTCCTGCAACAAATTGAAATATTTTGGCTCACCCACATAAATAAATAATATGTTTTCTGCTTGCCCGTTACCCATAATTTCCTTATGTATATTATTAGAAATAGTTAAGATAATAATTTTTATTTTCTAAATTACCGGTTATATTTCCGTATATGTTATTTCTTGTCTCGATATTTGAAATATTTAAGTAATTTGAAACTTACTTTTGCTATTTAAATTTCATATTCCTGTATCATACTCATCATTTGATATTTGAAAGTTGAAATTGAATTTAAGTTTCTATATTTTTTATATCGTCTTGTTTTTGATGAGAAATAGTTTAGTTATTTTGTTTGGGACAATTTTAAAACTACCCCTTTTGAGGATCACATTTTTAAAAATACCCCAGTAGGGAGAGCATTTTTAAAACTACCCCTATTTTAGTGCAAAAAGACGATTCTGCCCTCATTTGTTTTAACCTAAAAAATCTCTTCTTCACCAATCTCTCTCTCGACGGCGAAAACCCGACTCATCTCTCTCTCTCGACGGCGACGGCGATCCATTGATGTTGATTTATGAGAATCCTAGTTTACAGTTCACCCCGTCGCCGACTATCTCTACGTTCCTTCAAGCCCCTGAATTTATTGTTCTCCGTCGTGATTCATTGTTCTTGGTCGTGGTGTGCTGAGATTTGGTGTGCTATGGCGAGATGAAATGTGCTCTGCTCAGTTCGACGTGGTCTGGTAACTCACTTTCAACATCTCGTCAAGCATAGCACACGTATTCGCTTCACTCTATCAAATCACGGCCTAGATTCTCCTACAACAGTGAGATGCTGGAATTGGTACTTTTATATACTTTTAGTTTGGATATAATCTAGATTTGATTGTTATAGACAAGTAAGGTTTAGTGAAGGTATCATATTTAAGAGATCGACTTCAGTATGCCAACATATCTAATACAGTCTGCATTTGTTAGTTTGCTGCATATTTCTATGATTTTACAGAATGATGTTTGTTAGTGAAGATGTTTTGCATCTGCACTCGAAATCAAATGGAAAAGATAAGGCATGTTTTTAGTAATAGCTGTAGGATATGATATTATTAAGGTGGTGGAGTTGAATGTGTGTGATTTCCAATATGATTAGTTCATAGCAAACAATTTGTGAATTTGCAAGCAAACGAAAGGTTGTCGTCTTCAGATAGGAAGAACCATCTCAGTCCGAGATATTCATAGCAAGGGTACGAATCTCCAGCTGCAAGACACTAACAAGGTACTGAGGTAGTGAATGTTTTATTGGTTTCAATTCGTGGCCCTATTGTATAATCAACTAGACAAGCTGTGAATGAATTGTATCTAGATATATTCATGGTTTGTGTTGCAGGATTACTGTTGGATATTAGAATTTTGAATTATTCAAGAAGCTTTGAGCTCTGTTTTTAGTATTCTACCAAGAGGAGTGGAGACATGTGAGAGCCAGCCTTGAGTACACTGGTGGAGAAGTAAGAAGTGCTGGTAGAAAGCGGTATATCTAACGATAGTTTCAGACTAAGAAACAAACTCATGTGATAAGAAAATTGGTGCTTAAGTTGAAATATGCTTCTTTGTTTGTCATCTAGTGATTATGTGGTTAGTAACTTGCCTTTTACTTGTATTTCAAGTACAATGTGTGTGTGACCTTTTTTTTTTAGTTTGTTAAAGGGCTTATGATTAAAGTGTGTATGGATTTGTAACATTTTTATAAGAAGAAACTAAGGATATATAACATCTTTTTAGAACCTTTTATAATCTGTATACAAACTTTTAAAATCATGTAAAATTTAATTTAGTAATTTTACAAGGTTTTTATGAAGATTAAATAAATAATTAATTTAATTTAATTATTTATTTAAGTTTTTTTAATTAATTATTTAAGATTTCAACATTTAAATTTTTTTTAATTATATTATCAATTTTTTTGAATATTTCTCCATATTTTATGCTATTGTAGGATATATACCATATTTATTTTTATTTTTATGGTAATCAATTTAATTAAGCATCATTGACATGTTTTTTTTAAATACAACATTATATAGCCTGTAATTAAGAACATTAAAAAACCAATACCGTTAATTATTACGCTGTAAAAACATATAGCACGTACATGTGGGGTTGATTGTAAAACCTAAGTCTCATAAAATTTGCAATATTCGGATCAACATGATAAGAGATTTGGATCGAGTGTGAACCGAATTAGTGATAAGTTATAAATCAATTGAATTCGTGAACTATCACATCACATAATTCGTGAACTATCACATCATATAAAAACAATTGAAATTACATGTTTTATTAGAAAACAACATTATATAGCTTGTAATTAACTAATTAAATTACATGTTCTCTTTCTGTATCCGTTATTTCTTCTCCCGATATTTGAAATATTTAAGTAATATGAAACTTAATTTATTTAAACATTTTAATTATTTATTTAAGTTTTTTAATTAAACATTTTAATTATTTATTTAAAAATATAGCACGTACATGTGGGGTTTTTTATTTAAACATTTTAATTATTTATTTAAGTTTTTTTAATTAATTATTTAAGATTTCAACATTTAAATTTTTTTTAATTATATTATCAATTTTTTTGAATATTTCTCCATATTTTATGCTATTGTAGGATATATACCATATTTATTTTTATTTTTATTTTACCTAAAATATCATTTAAAAAAAAATATGATGATTTTTGTCACACAAAATAAATATATTATCATATTATAAGAGTTATACAAAATACAAGTAACATAAACCTCTTGACTAAAACCATTAAACCAAATAAAAAAATACTATAAATTAGATTTGATTATTAAGTTATTGTTTAAAAAATATCTCAAAAAGTTACATATGTAAATTTCCGAATTTAATTGTCCACCTTTTTGGCAACAAAATTAATATGATTTCTATAAGGGAGAATTGCAGAACTAACCTTTTTTAACATACCCTTTTTTAAATATAGTCTCTGTAAGAGCCCATTTTCAATAATAACCATTCTCATGTGACGAAAGACCAATTTACCCTTACTGAACTTCTAGGGTTTCAAAAGAACAAATCATTTGTTCTTTCTCCCCCAAATTTCGCCGGCGACAACGAGAGTGCGCGATTAAGAGAGAAATCGGCAACGACTGCAACGACTGCAACGACGGCGACTAATATGATCTCCCTAGGATAGAACTCCGATGAAGGCTGAAGATAGGTGATAGGCGACGTGAGTTTGTTGATGATGATGGGCGATGAACGTGAATGATGATATGAGAAGATTGAATGATGAAACAATGGTTTGATGGAGATAGATGTTTAGGTGGTTGTATGGATTGTAACAATGAAGAGTTTCTGAATCACAAAGTGTATAGAAACCCGGAAATCTAGAACGCATTCAAGAATTCGAATTGAGAGAAAAAGTGTGACAATACTTGTTCATACAACTTCTTCGCTAAAGAGAAAAGAGGCGTAGCTTTGGGTTTTAAATACCCTAGGGCACGACACTCCAAACAACAAGAAGTTCAAAACCAAAACAACAAGACGTTTTAAGGAAATAATAAAAACAGCAAGATTTCCCGACGTCCTGTAGTAGTACAGAAGTCGGCTGAACTAGTACAGAAGCTTGACGACCTGTAGTAGTACAGAAGTACATTATTCCCCTTTGGTAATGATTTCTAGATAACTCGACGTAGTGATCCATTTGCCTCATTAAAAACCATGCTGAGAAAACCCATTGGGACAAAACTCAGCTATGGGAAAAAGAGTACAAACTTCTCACCTAAGTTACCTAGTCCTCATCACCGGGTGAAGTCTTCAGGTTAGATATGTTGAAGACTTGGATCCTTGGTAGGTTGAATGACCCGTCAGCTATGAATGCGTGTGCTTCCTTGGCCATCTCCTTAGCTCTTGAACGAGTGATCCTTCCCACCATCTCCGGTTTCTCTGTAGCCTCTTGCTCCGTGCTAGCCACGATCATATCAGCGACGACTGCAACGACGGAGACGGAGACAACGGCGACGAACACTAAGGCGAAGACTGAACCGATTAACTGATACATCGTTCTCAATCATTCCGGTAGGTATCTTCTTTTCATCGTTCTCAATATATCGTCGAGATTCTCATTTTAGGTTTTGATTCCGGTAGGTATCTTCTTTCGATTTCGTATTGAGTCGGAGAAATCAACCTATCAGACTCTCATTTTTGGTTTTGATTAGAAAATAGTGAAAGTCTCAGATTTGATCGTGAATTTTTAGAAGAAATTTAGAGAAATCGATAGTGAATTGTTATAAGTTTTCAACTGATTCAATTTTCAATAGTAGTTAGTATGTGATTCAATTGGGAACTTAGTTAACTTATACCGTTAGTATGTGATTCAATAGTAGTTAGTATGTGATTCTTATACCGTTCATATCTAACCATCTTTTGTATGAATACTATTTTGAATCAACTGTTTTGGATTGATATTGTATTATCTTTGTATAGATGGAAAACCAAGACTCATTTGGAGAACTCAAATTGCCAAAATTGATTCAAGATGACGAACAAGATTCTAAAGGGACAATCATACAACATTCTGATTGGGGGCTTGTTGAAAGGGTGAAACAAGCTTTGGGGATCAAGCTATTTGAAAAGCTCCAGCAATCGTTCCTTGGGAGAGTAATAGAAATTGCCTCAAAGATTGGAGACATCAAGTTTTCGGGAAAGATTTTCCATTTCTTGATGCAGCGAAGACTGAAAACAAAAGGATCTACTCTCTGGTTTGTGGTTGACTCACAGCCAATAAGATTCTCATTAAGAGAATTCTTTCTCACGACAGGTAACTTACTGGATTATTATAGTTTTACATTAGTTGTTTTTAAAACTTTACAAGTTATTTTAAATGGTTAAAAGGCGTCTGTAAGCTATTTATAAGAGTTTACAAGTGTTTACAAGGTTTACAAGCTATTTTTAAACTGTTTACAAGCTATTTTTAAAGGTTTACAAGATATTTTAAAGATTTTACAATGTGTTCACTTGAGTTTTAAAAGCTATTTTAGAATGACTACAACGATTTTGTTAAAGTTTTTAAATCTTTGTTTAATAAAAAACAGGTATTCAATGTCAAGCTGTTGATAGAGATCTTCAACGAAAAGGCAAAGACCTTGTGAAAGAGCAGTACTTCTGGACACAAGGTGGACAATTTACTCTGAGTCAAATACAGAACCGTTTGTTTAGGAAAGTAGAAGATGGTGAAGAAGAAATTGAAGATGAAGAAAAGTTTTGCCTTGGTGCTGTAGTTTTAACTGAAGGGATACTCCTTACATTATCTTGTCAAGAGAAAATACCTGCTGATAGATTGGAACATGCTTCAGATTTTGATATGTACACAGCCCAATCGTGGGGAAAAGAAGCGTATGTTGTTCTTTCATCATGCATTCAAAAGATGAATAAGAAAACTTGGTTAAAAGGTGCGTACGACGTCAAGGGATTTCCTATAGCAATAACAGTATGGGCTTTGAGCGCAGTTCCAGTGTTGGGTGCAGCATTTGGAAAAAGATCTAACACGTCCAACTCTGACTATCCTTTGATATTCAACTGGGAGAGCACTACCGCACCATCTTTTTCTGCGCTAGTAAACTTTGTTAAACGAATGAATAACGTAAGTTTTACACTTATTAACAGTCCATACCTGTCAACAAGCTATTTATGTGCTAGTAAATATGGAGATTTTGAGTATAATTTAATTTTTGCAGGTTGAGGCGAAGACTATTATTGGTGATGAAAACTCTCTGATGACTTTACCCTAATTGCACGAAGTCTCCAACCACATTTTTCATCAATACAATGAAGAACATATCTATCCTTATCAGATTTGTCTGTCATAAACTCCAAACTATGTTTCACAGCAAACTTCCTCATCAGATCTACCATTTCCCCTTTGTTCTTAAATAATTTCCCACAGATCAAAGAACCAACATCACTTAAAGCAGATGAACAAGCATTACTTAAACCACCCTCTTCTTGGTGGGATATTTCAGTTATAAACTGTTGACTATGAATACCAGATGATTCAGATACACACGCCTCATTTGTCATAAAATAAGGCCTTGTCTACAAAAAAATACATAAAAAGATTTTTCAAAAAGGTCATAAAAATATTTACAATGATTTTTTAAAGTTGTGTAAAATATTTTTAATGATAATTTTATCATGTGATTACAATGAATTATAAAAACTGTAGAAAGATGGTAAAGTTTTAAAAGTGTGTATAGTGAAATAATAATAAAAATTAATAGAGATATAAGTTTTTAAAGGTTTTACAAGAATTTTTAAAGGTGTTGTAATAACATATGTAAGAGATAACATAAGGATTTTGTAAGAAGTACTTTAAGACGTGTGTATGATAAGTTACCTGAAGAGGAGTAGGAGCTTGGAAAGGAAGCACTCTTGCAGCAAATGGATTTGAGGTTGTTGCACCCTATAAGAGATGTAAGTTTTTTAAAGGTTTTACAAGAATTTTTAAAAGAGTTATAAATATGTAAGTAATACTATAAAGAGGTTATAAGCGATTTCAAAATGTCTAATAAGTTACCAAAACAGGAGTGGGAGCTTGTGAAGGAAAGACACTCTCATCAAATGGATTTGAGGTTGTTCCACCCTACAAGAGATTTAAGTTTTTAAAAAGTTTACAAGACTTTTTTAAGCTGTTAAAAATATGTAAGAAATAATATGTATAGAAGGATACCTGCTCAACTGTAAAAGAAATATCTTCTATTGTCACACAAAGTTTATGAAAGCCTCCACTTGGAAGCGGTTTTGTCAAAAATGTTTGAAGTTGTCTATCAATTCTTATATAAAGTGGATGAAGCTCTAAATTAGAGTCTATCTTGTAACTAAGATTCACAAGATTTGACACCCTATAAATATGAAAATCATCAACAAGAACTTCAACCAACTCCGCAAAACTAATGTTCTCATCTATGTTGACAAGAGAAGCTCCCCTTTCTAGATCAACATCAAACTCCCCACAATTATTATATATGTAACTCCAAAAGCCACATATAGAATACAATTCAACCATTGAACCTGAGAATATTAAAATTACAAAGATCTGTCAATCAAAATAATCTATACAAACAAAACCCAACTAGTTGAATACAGAATAAGAGCTCTTTCTATTGATTCACATAATAACATAATCAACACCAAAAACGATTCAAAATCTATCAAAAAATCTATCACAAAACACGAAATCTATCACAAAAACAGTATGAAAAAATCTATCACAAAAATCGTTTAAACACAAAATCGATTGAACACAAAATCTATTAGAAAACAGTATGACTGAAGAATCGATTCACATAATCACATAATCAACACCAAAAACGATTCAAAATCGGGTCGTTTAGGCTAAACTTCAAATTTGATTCGAAATCGATTTAGGTTAAACTTGAAATCAATTAAATCTGAAATCGATTCAATAAGAGAACAGAACCTGGTGACGACGGCGAAAGAGAGACGACGGTGATTCCGGCGAGATGTAATTCCGGCGAAAGAGAGACGCGATGATGATTACGGCGAGGAGAGACGCGACGAGAGAGGGAGAGAAATTTTGTCGGCGTGGAAGAAGAAAGAAACAAATGTTTTGGTTGCAGGGTAAAATGGTCTTAAATTTTTAATAGAGGGTATAAGTAAAAATGGCAAAAAGGGGTAGATTTAAAAGAGGGTAACATAAAAAGGGCATTGGTATCAATTTCTATTTCCATAAATATATATAGATTTGTTTTTTATTATTTATTTATTTTTTGAAAAAACTGGTGTCTTAAATTCTGTTGGCTACAGGGATAAGTTTCATGACATTTTAAAAACAAATTGGGGTCTGTTTGGACACAGCTTGTCCTTCCCAATTAATAGTATAAATATATTTATATGATTTTGTAATTCAAAAAAAAAATCTCAATTTAATACTCCAAGATTTTATTTTGACCATATTGATCTTTCATATTTGCTACCAATAAATATTTGGAGATATGTACAAACTAATTCTTACTACTTATATGTGAATTCATGGAAATATATTATATACGGTCAAAGATCAATTTATTGGAAAAAACAATTATGCTCTTAATATTTTATAATTTTGGTAGCCATTTAACGTTGAATAATTACACAAGAAAATATTTAATAAAAAGAACTTGAATAATAATAAAGAATTTTTTTTAAAAAAATCAGCAAATTAATTTAGGGGGAATTTCAAAAATACCCTTTTTCCAATACCACTTTTTAAAAATACCCCTCTTTCTAGTTTTATCAAAAATTCACTGTAAAATTTGAATTTTATCAAAAACATATGTGTAAACTTATATTTATAGACACAAATTATCTTTATATGTGTGTAAATTTATATATATATTTCATAAATACCGTATAAATACCTTTTAAAAACCTTTTAAACACCATTTAAAAACCTTATAAAAACTGTGTAAACCTTTTAAAAACCTTATAAAAACATTATAAATGCCGTTTATAACCTTTTAAAACCTTATAAATATTTTGATTTAGTCTCCCAGTAGTAATGATGACCTCGATGTACCTTATTAACGATATAAAACTTTATAATTTTTCATATTTGAAAAGGGGTATTTTTGAAAATGGATAGAAAAGAGGGGTATTTTTAAAAAGGGGTACACCAAAAGGGGTATTTCTCAAAAATTCTCATTAATTTATGTGTTAACTTTATCACGAAGGAACATCTCAATGAATTAATATTTTTTATTTATTAAAAATGTAGTGACCAGTAAAGAGATAGAATTAACAAAGGGTATAAACAAAAAAAAACAAAGGTGTATATGTACATCTAACCAGTAACCAGTTTTTCAAAATAGTTAAATAATTTTGATAAATTTTCAAGATCGTTCAATATAGCTGCCAAGTTTGATCCTCAAAATACAATTATTATTATTATTATTATTTGAGAATTTTTGAGAAATACCCCTTTTGGTGTACCCCTTTTTAAAAATACCCCCTTTATCTATCCATTTTCAAAAATACCCCTTTTTAAATATAAAAATTATAAAGTTTTATATAGTTTATAAGGTACTTCTATATAGTAACTACTACTGGGAGATTCGATACAAATATTTTAAAATGTTTTAAATAGTTTTAAATCATTTTTATAAGTTTTATAAGGTTTTTAAAAGGTTTTTAAAAGGTTTTTAAAGGGTTTATACGGTTTTTATAAGGTTTTTATAAGGTTTTTTATAAGTTATTTTTACGCTATTTATGAAAGGTATATAAAGTTTTATACACATATAAAGGTAATTTGTGTATATATTTATAAGCTTACACACATATTTGGATAAATTTCAACATTTTTAGTGGGTTTTTTGATAAAGTTTGAAAAGGAGGTATTTTTAAAAAGAGGTATATGAAAAGGAGTACTTTTGAAATTCCCCCTTATTATTTTTCTCATTGTATTCAGTTTTCCTACTATAAGTAATATTTGATTTAACTGCACAATTTATTAGTACTAATATTTTATAACACTGAGCATTATTAAGAAACACGGAAACAAAGTATTAATGTAATGCCTGCAAATTCCGGTACCGGAATCTCAGGAAAGAAAGCCTACAAGTATCAAAACTCTCGGAAACTAAGTTGGATTCTACCTTATTCATTGAGTAATTGTGATTTAATAAAAGCAATACCATATAGTAAAATAGTTTTTATTTTGATGAATTTAGTACATATTTCAATTGGAAACCAAAACCATAAAAGCTCATAAAAACATAGTTCATCGCTTAAATCACCAACTAGTGCAACAACATTTTCCAGTGCTCTTATTTGGAACACAATGTCCAGTACGATAATTTTTCATTGCACAGTCAATGTGGCATTCATAATCTTCATAATATCCTATTGCACATTTAGCAAAACAGTTTGGTGGTCCTACAAATACAACCCAAAACATACATGTATATAATGGTTATCGCGATTCTATATTTTGTAAAAGAAAAATATTCAAAATAGTTACAATATAAAGATAGGATAGAAGAAAACTCTTATGTAAGAAACATCAAGTACCTGCGGCTAAAACATTGTTGTCTAATAACGAAATTGTCAGTATTATGACAAGAAAAAATGTGACAGAGTTCTTTGTGATATTCATCATATAAATCTTTCAGGTTTATTTCTGTTAAGAAGAAAAGATGGTTTGTAACTTTATAGTTTTGTAGAAGAAGCTAAATTTATAGGATTTTGTATTTTTTTTTAAAAAAATGTCAATTTAATACTCCAAGATATTATTTTGACCATAATGATTCTTTTATATTTGCTACCAATAAATATATGGTATACAAGTGTATGTATATACACGTGTATATGTAACTAAATCTTTAATATGTTTGAACTTAGAAGCCAATTCATGGAAATATATTACATACAGTCAAACATAGTTTGAATATTCATTTATTAAATAACAAATCGGAGGACAATCGTTCCACGAAAACTCTCTCTTCTCTCTCCTAGAAACCTTTTCAACAAATCTCAGATCCGATCTCTAGTGGCCTTGGTTTTTAATCCCACAAGATTCAGAGTGTTCAGAGACAGCTAATTCTCCTCACCGTCGGCTTGGGTGAGGTTTTTCTTCTTCTCTGGCGTAGATCTAGACCCGATGTAGTGGTTAGAGTGCGGTGCTACAGACCTCCGATATGAGGGAGTCGGCAGGTGTAGCGGCTGCCTCGTGGCTCGCCCGTTGTGTCGGCGATGGATCTACGGCGGAAGCCAAAGGACGAGATGGTGGGTGGCTGAAGCGCCTTGGAGATTAACGGTGGATCCTTTTTGGATCTTGCCGGCCGTCGTGGAGTCTGCGCGTCTGGGCTTCTGATTGAGCCGTCGGCCCTAGTCGCCGCCACGACTTGCTTTCTCCGGGTCGGCTAGAGGAGTTTTGGTGAAGCGATTGGAGACTCGCCGGTTTCAAAAGAGGTGAGGTTATGTCCGAAGTTGGCCGCTCGCTTGGTCTGGGAGTGTCAACAATGTGCTGCGTAGTCGGAGGTTGGCCATATCGGGAGGTTTGTGGCGGGTCGATAGATCGAGGGTGAAGAAACGGCACCGAAGTTGGATGCTTCCTTTCCGCTTCTTGATCCCTCGGTGGTTTGCAAAGCCGTGGTCCTCGCATCCACCAGTATCAATGGTCTGACTCTTTGCTCGCGGTGTCAATACGACACGAGTCGTTTCTCCGGCGCCGGTGGTTTTTAGGTTTCCGGTTGCTTTGGTCTCTGTTCATATGTGCTTTGTGGCCCGGCCCATTAAGGGGTTCTATTAATAAAATTTGGCCCATTAAAACTATATGAGGGCTCCCAATTTGTGTCCATCGGTGAGCTTTCATCGTCGTCATATACATTTGTGTCTGTCGTCGTAAGGTGAGCTTTCATCGTTGTCGATTCACTGTGTTTCGTTTTGTTCGAATCTTCAATTTGTTCGATTCTTCACTGTTTTTGTAGATTTAAGCTTCTATTAGGTGTTGTCATCATTTAAGCTTTGGTTCTAGATTTGATTAGGTATTTTATTGGAATTGATTAGTTTCGTGTTGTGGATTTGAGAACTAGTTGAGTCAAGAGAAACAAAATTAAGCTGGTGATGTTGTTTTGATGTGGATTCGTTTATTAATTTGCTTTGGTGTTTGTTTGAGAATTAATCGATGAGGCTGGATTTGTGATACTCGAGATTTTTGTGTTGATTTTGGTTTTGGTGTTGATTTTGGTTTCGGTGTTGATTTAGATTTTGGTGTTGACATTGACTTGTGAAACTCATGATTTTGATTTTGCTGTTAATCAAGGTGTTGATTTTGGTGAAGCTCGTGAATATGGTTGAGTTGTACTTAGTGTGTGGTAACTGGAAACAAAATGTTAATAGAAGCTTGAATTTCGTTATGGATTCACAAAAGGAAAGATCTCTTAGTGAAGTAGAAATGAATGTAACATCAAAAGAGAGAGGACATATACATATAATTTTTTACACATAAATCATATATAAATGAATGTGAAAGATTGAGTAGAGGGTACGATCCCCTAATATAATATTCCACCTAAAAAAACAAAACTGACAAACAGTGACAATATATATGGGGAAAAAAGCATAAAAATATCTCTATCTATTTTTTATTTGGACGTTTAATACTTGATTTTTTTTGGTTGGAAAAATAATACCCAAAATAATAAAAACGTGCAATTTATTACCTAAACTATTAAATACTGACAATTTCCTACCTCCGATCTATCAACAAAAATATATTCCAATTTTACCCTTCTTCATTTATATTTATTATTAGTGCATAAATGACATGAAATTAATTACAATTTTATTGGAAACAAATATTTGCTAGTAATATTTCATTGTATCATTAATTTATAGATTTAATTCAAAATACATATTTCATTTTTCATTTTTGTCCAAAAAATATTAAGTGATTCAACGAAAGGTTTATTTTGAATTATATGTTTCATATCCAAAATATATATTTGAATAAAATATTTCATTTTTATTCAAATATATATTTTTAAGAAATCTAATGAAAGATATATATATTGAATTATATATTTCGTATTCAAAAATGATATGTATATTTCATTTTTCATTTTTATCTAAAACTTTTTAAGAGATCCAATGAAGGTATATTTTGAATTGTATATTTTATATCCAAAAATTGTATTCTATTTTTATCCAAAACTTTTAAGAGATCGAACGAAAGATATATTTTGAATTATATATTTCAAATCTAAAAATGAATATTGAAGTATGAAATTTATATTTTTAATTAAAGATATAAAGAAATATTACAATATAATAGTAAAGTAAAATATAGTCTTTTATGCATTAATAATTAATAAAAGTGAATAAGGGTAAAATTGGAATATGTTTTTTGTTGAGAGATCGTAGGTAGAGAAATGACAATATTTATTATTTTAAATATTAAATTGCACGTTTTTATTATTTTGAGTATTATTCTTCCAACCTAAAAAAATCATGTATTAAACGTCCAAATAAAAAATAGATGAGGTATTTTTAAGCTTTTTCCCAATATATATGAGGGCATGGGCATTGGTTGGGACCATTATTTGGTCCCATGATTGTTTTAAGAGTATTTTGGATGTGAGATAAATGTTTAATTTTAATGTATGAGCATTGGTGTATTTATGTTTTTTGTCCCATAATTATAATAATCATATTTTGAGTTTATTAAAATAATTAGATTTAATTAAAAAGTAAAAACATATTAAATATTGGATTAATATTATACATTTAAAAATTACAAAGTTACAAAAAAGGATTAAGATGGGAAAATATACAATTAAGACATTATAAAATATAAAACATAAAGCATACAAAGATTAAGAGAATTTTTGAGAAATACCCCTTTTGGTTTACCCCTTTTTAAAAATACCCCTTTTATCTATCCATTTTCAAAAATACCCCTTTTTAAATATAAAAATTATAAAGTTTTATATAGTTTATAAGGTACTTCTATATAATGACTACTACTGGGAGATTCGATACAAATATTTTAAAATGTTTTAAATAGTTTTTATAAGTTTTATAAGGTTTTTAAAAGGTTTTTAAAAGGGTTTATACGGTTTTTATAAGGTTTTTATAATTTATTTTTACGCTATTTATGAAAGGTATATAAAGTTTTATACACATATAAAGGTGATTTGTGTATATATTTATAAGCTTACACACATATTTGGATAAATTTCAATATTTTTAGTGGCTTTTTTGATAAAGTTTGAAAAAGGGGTATTTTTAAAAAGAAGTATATGAAAAGGGGTATTTTTGAAATTCCCCCAAAGATTAAACCAACATTTTATTGAATTTATAGAAATTTGAATATTAATCTTCATTATCTGGAAGATGTCCAAAATTAGTCCAAATATGCTCTATCAAATCATGTTTTAATTGTTCATGGGCTTGTTTATCCCGAACTCTTGTTCGACGAGTAATCCTTGTGCCTATATTTGAAGCCACACCGGCGGTACCAACAGTATATGTTTGATCGACATCTTCTCCGTGTTGAAATTCATAAATGTTACGGAGATTGTATGTATGTCGTTCGTCTTCCACAATCATATTATGGAATATTATGCATTCTCTCATAACATTTGCCATTTTATTTTTATCCCGAAGAGAGACTGAAGACCCCAAAAAATTTGTTCTCCACTTATTCACACCTCCAATCACCGATTGCCATGTAGTTCAAGGGACGAGTGTTTTTTGTCCGGATTTTAGAAACATTTATTCATCTTTTACGTATTATTAATTTATTTTTTTTAACAAAAATTCAACCATATTCACGAGCTTCACCAAAAGTGAATCAGATGGTTATGACGTTATTTATTAAAATTATCATGTTGTTGTTTTCTAAGTCATACCGTTCACAACTCTGTTTACTTTTCATTTACAGCTTTCGAATGTCATGAAACACATTAATCGATAGAAATTTCGTGATGTACTATTTTGCTTCCTAACAATAATATTCATATGCAAAAAAAGACAAATTATTAGTTTCATAGAAGAATTCAAGAGTTGAAGCTTTGCGCTGAAGCTTTCTTGAGCTCAAGAGCTCGTTTATAAGGTGGTGCTATCGGAGGTTGAATTGGGTCTAGACTCTGGTATGACGATCCATCTGCTTCTTTAGGAAGTGGGTAAGACCGGTCTGAGTCGTAACCCGTTAAGTCACCACATGCCAAGAATGGTATATAAACTTTGTTGGGCCCTTCAAGCCAACCACTGCTGCAATCTGCAGAGTACCAAGAAAATAGATAATCGCAAGAACAATATCAAAAAACTAAAATATTCACATGAAGAGGGCACTTTAGGTGTTGACAAAGAGTAAATTCAAAGTGTACTACTCAGCAATGCACACGTTAGTTGTGTCTAACTTGAAGAGCTTTAGATTTTTGAAAGTGAAGTTACGAGATTTTTTACCAAGATCGCTTCCACCTGAAGGGCTTCCGACTTTCTCCAAGAGACGGTGCAGATCTTTCGGGTTAAATCCTTCTGGTGGAGCGTAATTTTCGCAAACAGCAAAAGCCTCTATAGAAACAGAGTAAAGAATGCAATAAGAATCTCCAAGAAAAAGCAACATGTACATCTTTGATGGTTAAACCATTGAGTAAGGAAATCATATATGGCACTGTGAAAGTTGTATTCTTTTACCTATACTCGAATTGCGGCTACTTTTCGGTTTCGCGAAAGTTACAGTTGGGAAAAACAACTTCAGCTACAAATAAAAGGTATTAAACTATATCAGTACAAGCAACAGTGAATATTATGAGCACAACGTCATAACTTACTTTACAGTTGATTCATGAGCACAACATCTAAACTTACTTGACAGTACAAGAGACTTGTATCTTTTCCGCGGAATATCTTTGCAATAAATTTTCCACCTTCTTTAAGAACATGGGTTACAATCGTTAAGCCCTGAAAAAAAGGGTTTGTTTGTTATTATTATTCATGATCATAGGCTTCAGGTTGATGCTAAATAATACTGATTCTTGTAAATAGAAGCAAAGCAACTTACCGCTAGAATTAGTTGGGACTGGACAAATTCATCCATGTCATGCAAACCGGTAACTACAAACCAAATAGTAAAAGGCGTTATTTTGATAGCTTGCAAATATTGAACGGCGAAACAAACACTATATATACTATCTCACCATCTGGAGCACCATCACAGACAACGAGGTCTGCTTTGCAGCCATCAAAGTGTCTAATGACCTTATGGAAAACCGAGAATCAGTAAGCTATATATATATCAAAGACAAACTCCAAACATAACCAAGTAGATAAAAAAATATATCTATGAGCTAGGAGTTGAGAGACTTTACCACTTCAGCAGTCCGAGCATTAGTTATGTCCCCTTGAACCTGGATGACACCTTCAATTGGAGCCATAGGCTGCAAATCTATGGCCACTATAAGAGGAAGATCTCCTTCTCTGCATAGTGTTTCAGCAGCAAAAAAAAAATATTTAAACTTTTTCTCAAGAAGTGAATTACTGAAGTAGCACAACTTAACTAAAGAGAAAGGATATTAAAGAGAAACAGTGTGTGATATAATCTAAGCAAATATGAAAACTCACTTTGATTCAGCTGACAACTTTGCTGGAAGATACAATTGACGACTCAAGACCTACAAATTAAGCGCACCGAACAGATTTAGAACGCGTCCTCTTAATTTTATCCACTACAAAATCAACCACAGAACCATATAAATGAATTTCTAGAGCATCCCCTGTTCTCCCATGCCTATCACTTTCTATTTGAGTGTTTTCCTCTATTTAACTCCTACTACACTAAGTCACGAACCGAGCTAAAGTTATCAGCTAACAGAGATTGCAACTCAAATTACATTCCTATGCAAAAAAAAATCATCACAGTGATAAAACAAACCCTAATAATCTCAATAGCTCTATGCAAAATGGTCAGTGGTAGTTAATTATAGAGCACACATATAAAGATCTGCTAACTGACTAAGGCGATTTCACACTATTACCAATGTGAATAAATTAAACTCAAGACCACCATACCTGACTCCAGCTACCAGGTGCAGCACATAAATCTACAACCCTCTTCACTCCTGCATATAGGTACTATTCACTGACATAGTAATTACAAAAGAGGGAAAAAAGAAATTCAAAGATTACCTTCAAAAATGTTAAATTCTTCATCAATCTGAAGAAGCTTAAAAGCACTTCTCGCACGCCATCCTTCTTCTTTGGCTTTACGATAGTAGATATCCTACAAAACAATTGTTTCAGCAAATCTCTTCCCCGAGAAGAAGCTCTAAGAAGCAAAATAAATTTCATTACAAGGCATACCCTTTTGTCCCGAGAAGCTTTGCCCATGTCTTGTAGAGAAGAAAACTGAGTAGATTAACTGCAATGAACACAAAAAGGTCAGCAAAAATTGAAGGGACATAGATAAGTTAAGCCAAAAGGGTGTCTCAGAGGCATACTATCGAACACCTTAAGGGCACTATGTAAGACAGACAATTCGTATACTAGCTCAAAATATAACAAGGATATAAAAGAGGAAGCGCCTCTAAAATTTATTTCTGTATTTATTTTAATCTTTACACAAAGAAATAAAGGCCGTGGGTAAAAAAAACCCAGCACAGCCGGTACTCGAAAAAGCCCACCTACAAAAAGCCCAGATTCAAAAAACCCGAACAGGTTTTAGTCTTGATGGGTAAATCCGAATGAGTTTTAATACTGGTGGATAAACCCGTGGATTTCCGAATTTAATCGGATGTAATTATTTTCTGTATTTATTTTCTTAATTGCAATTTTTTTTTTGTAATTTCTTATGTTATTATTTTGTGGGAAATTTGTTGTTTTAAAGAATATATAATTTTATGTTATATGAAGAAACTATAAAAGTTATACGTGTGACCGGTCTGTAATAAAATTCAATAAAAATGTATTAATTCTACAAAAGGCCAACAAAATATAGATTGAGTATCAAAACCAAAAACAAAGTTATAAAGCAACAATTTTCTTCCTCTTCTGGTTGTTCTCATATCATGTTATAACACTACCTTAAACTCTCTATTCTACATTATCAAACCTAGGGATGTTAAATTGGGTTTTTAAGTCCAGCCCAGTCCTGTTTATTTCAAGCTCAGTCCTAAATGAGTCCTAGTCCTGTTTAATTAAGTCCTGAAAAGTTTATATAATAGGGTTGAGTCATGTTCTATTCTTTCCTATTCAATGTAAAAAAGCTAGCAGTCAAAACTCTTGTTTGAGATTAGTTAGCAAACAGAAGACGAGATGAGTTCATGATGTGAATCTATCGCTACAAAGACTTCTCTTGCTTAATCTCAGATTTTGAATTACCAAGTAAGAACTCAAGATCTAGACCAAAAACATACAAAATCACAACAAAGAGTTCATGTGGAGAAGCTATAAACCAGAAGAACAAGTTAACGAAAGTGGAGTGTTAATTCAATTCACCTGTCAAAGATGCGGACGAAACAAATCGTCGAAAGCTTGAAGGAAGGAGAAGAATCAGATGTTTTTGGAATTTAGGAATAAAAGATGCATGGTCACGCAAACCATTTGGGAATTTAGGAATAATATTTGACAAAAATGTCATTTTGTACATCAATTTTTTTAAAAGGGCCAATTTGCCCAACTAACCAAAAACAAAACATGTAAAGAATATAGCACAAATAAAATAAATTAAGAGAATAACATAGTTGTGAAAAATGAAAATTACCATTTTGGTGTTGATTTGGTGGTACTAGTGGTGGCGGCCGGAGATAGCCAACTTGAGATAGGGTGGTGGTGATGGTCGGAGGTAGTGGTGGCCGGAGGTAGGGTGGTGGTGGTGGCCGGAGGTAGGATGGTGGTGGTGGTGGTGGCCGGAGGTATGATGGTGGTGGTGGTGGTCGGAGGTAGGATGGTGGTGGTGGTGGCCAAAGGTAGGGTGGTGGTGGTGGTGATAATGGTCGAGGGTGGTGGTAGTGATATTAGATAATGCGTAAAATTGTATATATTGTGGTTTATATGGAGAACTAGATTTTTATCGGCGGGTCAATTTTTTAACTTGAATTGTATATGTTTGTTTCTTTTGTGTTTAAGATTGTATAATTCTTTTCCTTATTAAGTTGTAAGTTTAACCGGTGGTATACTACACATGACAATTTATATTTTTACATAATCATAATTTAATCAACTTAAATAGATATGTGAGCTTTTTTAAACACTTACATCAAAACTAGATTCGGACCGCGCTGTAAGGAAATAATTACTTATATATAATTTTTAATGGATTAAAATATGTTACATTTTAGTTTTATTGTAGTGCAGTCAATTACAGTGAATCATATATTTGTATGATCAAGTTTAAATAAAATGATAAAAGAAAAAGCGAGTAAATAATAATATATTAAGTTTTGATACAATAAATAAACGGTAAAAAACAGCACGAAAAACAGTTATCGATAAATTATTCAGTTTGACCATTTTTGTAGTAAAAGTAGGAATATACGTAAAAATTACATACTTACAATTTTTTTTTTGAAAGACCAACCCGTAACAGAATTCATTTTATGCAAAAAATATTCATAACTCGCTTTACCATTATAATTGTGACTTTAACAAACTACTTGTGAAATATCTTAAATTACATATTTTGATATATAATATATTTTAACAATAAAAATTATGTCTCCAAATTTACATTTATGCCTCCAAAAAAATATTTTTAATATTTTAAATCTAAATTTGTTATATATTTGAACCTTTTAATTATAATATTTTTAAACTTTTGAAAATTTTAAATATGCTCATGTAACAATGGTTTTAATTCTGGTCATACTTATAATGAGTTTGAATCATTGTCCAAAATATTTAACCGAGTGTAGTTGAATATTATATGTCTATTTTGAAAAATTCAAATTGTAACATATGCATAAAAAATTTTAAAATATTTTAAACATTTTTATTATATAGTATACTATCATAAATTAAAAATAAGATCAAATAAAAGTGAAAGAATAATAATAATTGTTTTTATTATGTTATATTAAATTAGTTGGATAAATATTAGGAAATCCTAAAATTAGCTATGGAAATAATATAATTTTAAATTTGATATGGAAAGTATCCGATGTATGTATCCAAATCCATTTTAACATCCAATTTTGAAGTATCCAATTGTTAAATCTGGTTAATTTTGTAATTTTGATCTGATCCGTATTCTATTCTGTACTTATCTTTTACTAATATAGAGATATTTAGTAATATGTGGTGGACTTCATGTGTGAAGTGTGAACCACAGGTCCGGTTTTAGATGCACAATATTTATAACTTAAAACAAAAGAGATTAACAAGACAATTCTAGTAATTCATCCTATAAAATCCAAATCCGAACCGAAAAATTGGATTAAAACCCGATCCAAACCGATATCCAATTGATATCCATATATAACCAAAATTATAATATATACTTTAATATATTTAGGATATATACAATAAATACTTTAATATCTTTAAGATATATACGTTTGCCGCATATACTTTAATATCGTTCTTTGCCATATCTTGATTGTAGCTGTAAATTTTGCTACTTTTTTTCATTAGGAATTTATGGTTTACTTTGGTTTATTTAAACCTTTTATGCATCGACACAGTTTATGCTTCACTTTTATCTATTGTTATGGTATTATGTTAGTTGGTTCTTTGACTTGTCATTTGCCTCATTTCTATTTTTTTATATACTTGGATAATATGGATTATTTGAGTATAACTGTATTAAAAAAATATCCGAAATTTTGGTTAAAATTTAATTATTACAATTATATCCAAACTGAACCGAATTTTATAAATACCCGAATGGATGTTAGAATCAATATCCAAAAAATCCGAAAACCGAAAACCGAACCGAACCCGATCGGATATCCAAACGCCCATGCCTACAATAAAATATGAATCTAGCTACAACAACAACAATTTTTTATTCTCTCAATATTACATGATTATCATTCTCAGATATTGTCTACTACTACATCGTTACCAAAATAAATAAATAAACAATATATTAATATATATTCAAAGTTAATCATGGTAGAAAATTTAGAAATATGTATACTTGTTTATAAAATGGTAAGTTAATTAAGTGACTAACGGATAGGGTGATCTGTCCGGCATGAGAGGTGAAGTCTTGCTTGATGCCACCAAGACGGAACTCATTGCTCGGAGTTATCATCCAAAACCCAACCGGCGGGTCTGATGAGATCCAATCCAACCACTGTTGTACATATACTTATGGTCTATCTGCATCACATATCTGTTGATTGATGAGTTCGTCACATGGAGTATCAAATCCAAGATAGAGGTCGAACAAGAAGACACGTCTTATATTAATCAAAGATCGGCGAATATAAGTTATAACAGGAGAAGAAAACTGATCGACACTTAGGAGACTACAAGCCGAGCTCTTTGCTGTACTCACTGTACTCTCTCAGCACACGTTATGTCTTGTCACATCAACCTTCTTCCCTTTTATAGGTGAGTGATGGGACAACTGGCCGCCTTAGGTCTGTTTCTCGTGGGCCAATCACAGCGGGCGGAACAACGAATGGGCCGCTATTCATGCCTGCTTGTAGCTTGTCGTCTTGTGACGACGACGCCACATCACTCCTCTTGGTCGGGCCGAGCGTAAAGTTGTGGAGGGGACTCATGGGCTGAGGCCCATATCCAACAATATCCAATCCCTCATGTTCTAATGCAATATTTTGTACAAAACAATTGTCTAGATTATACGGAATAGTAAATTAATATTTATTTTTGTTACCTCTCCTTTGAACATAGTGTTCTTTGGATTTTTCAAAATAACAGCTTCTTTGTAAGCTATCCGCCATCGATGGCATGCTTCTCTGCCAATCATACGATGAAAGAGGAAATAGTTAGAGTTAGAAAAACAAAAGTAAACTATAATGTTTATATTTATAAAAGTTTCACTTACAGTTTTATGGTTCTCGCTTTTGGAATAGTGTGTTTAAATGCAAGTTTAGGCTGTATAGTTATCTATCTTAACATTTTTGAAGTACATTTTGTACTAAAATCAATTTTGGATTATAACCTTTTAGTTTGCAATATTTGCATAATCAAACTCTTGCCATTTGAACAAATAACAAAACGTAAAAGTAAATTTTGTAATTAAATCACAAGTAAATCGCAAAATTGGAAACAAATATTTATTACATAAAAAAATTTCCTAAAATCTCTCTCTAATAAATCGAATCTCTCTCCAATATATTTATATAATCTTATTTGTTTTTAACTTATATTATTACATAAAATATATTTATAATAAAAAATAAAAATTTTCTTCCACACAATTTGCAATTTAAATTTTTGAAAACAAACGTATAGAAATCAATCAATAAAGGAAAAAAATATGTACAACGTCTACATAAGGTAGAAAAAAATAGATAATAGTTCAAAACCATTACAAATATGACTAATACAGTATGCTTCCAACTACAAACTCCAAAATAAAAAAATTATCCAGTTTCATTCGGTTCTTTATTT